GGAATCGAATCTGGGTATCCATAATACAAAACACACATACTAGCCCTTTGACCTATATCCCCAACCTCCTGTTTACTTCTATTTTTTTTTTTTATTTTGGGGCCATACCAGTGATACTCAGGGTTTACTCCTGGTTACTGGGTTTACTCAGGAATCACTCCTCACGGTCTCATAAATAATATGGGATGCCTAGGATCGAACCGATGCAAGTTGTGTGCAAGGAAAGTGTCCTACTACTGTGCTAGGAGAGCCCCTCACTTTTAAATGTTTTCTCAAAGCACTTAAATATTCTTATGAAACCAAACCTATTACTTCTCTGTTTTCATTTACAAAACTACAATTTCTAAGTGTTGGTCTTAAAAATGACCACTGTCAATAGACGATGACAGCTCATGTATTATTATTTTTATTTCAATGTTCATCCTATAAAATATCTCATAATTTGAAAATAACTAAGATCCACTGCCCTTCTCATTTGGAATCCTAAGTAAATTCAGTTTTAGTATGGCTATAACTGTTATGCAAAAAAAATGTAGATGATTAACTTTTATTCCCTAGTAAGGAGATTCCAGAATATTTATGTTGCATTTCAATTATTCAGAAATCAGCTATGAGTTAATTCAGACTCTTGAAACAAAATGGCTTGCTCAGAGCTGACCCAAGCAATTTTTTTTTTTTTTTGCAGGGAGTGGTGTTGGGGAGTGGGGCAAGAGTTGGGCCACACCCAGTGATTCTTAGGGCTTACACAGGGATAACTTCTGGTGGACTCAGGGGACCATATGCAGTGCTGGGGATAGAACTAGGGCCAGCAGTGTACAAGACTGAAACGCAAGTGTCCTACCTGCTGCTGTACTATCACTCTGGCTCTCAAAACAAATTCTTAAAAGCTGCCACACATTCTATGCCCTTACTCATCGGAGGGTATAGAACCATCCAAATCTGTACCTAAGAAATGTCTGATGTTAGGGAAATGCAGATTTTACTATTAGGTTTTTCAAAAATCCACTGTCGACTCTTAAAAAAATTAACAAAGGTAAAATAATACCAAACAATAAATTAGCATCCAGAACATAAAAATCTATCAATCATAGTTTAGAAGAACATCCCTATAGAGCGTAATAGTCTCTTAGGAAATCATAAATTCTGTAAAAGCTGTTCACAATGACAACTCCAAGTAATACAAAAACAATGACCCTTAACTCAGTTTATTCTGTTTAATAAAACAGAAGGGTAAATTTTATATTTTAGTAGCATTTCAGAAAAATATCCATACAAAACAAATCTTGGCACATAAGAAAATAAGATGCAATTATCCAGAAAATTAACAGATGCAGAATACTATTCATTAATAATACCCCAATGAACGAGGAATTTGTCAAAGTAAAATTTTCCCTCAAAGTGAAAATACATCATGACTGCCTTTTGCAAAATGGAACTCTAATGAGGTACAATAATATTTGGGAAGGGTGGGCTTTAAACACCCTGTGTTATTGGGCACTTCTTTAATAGTCAAATACCTGATCAGTTATGAAAGTTAGTCAGGCAAATTTTCCACCTAAATGGAGACACTCATGAAAATGTCCTGATTTCATTTTGCTTTCTTTAACCTGTGATTGCCAAGTAGACAGATTGGTCCATTTTCTAGTTCCAACTTGCTAAATGACCTTGTTCAAGTGAGTCACTTTAGTCCTCAGTTTCTTTATGAGTAAAAAGGTTATGAAATGACATCATAGTGAATAGAACAAATGTGGTAATAAAAGAGCATATAATATTAGGTAGCATACACACATATTTATAAATGCATACTTATAAATGTAACTTTTAAACTATCACAAATGACAAGGGTCATGTACTAAAGTAGGAAAAATAAACAGTTTTATAGGTCAAAAGATTTATAGTGTATGTACCACCACCACTATTACCATTCACCACTAAAAAAGTGACTGCCTCTTTCTCTGCCCCACCCACTACACTTTTCAAGTAATAACCATTTTATTTTAGATTCTGAAAGGTTTTGTTATTGTTGTTCAATTTTATTAATGATTAGTTTCTTTATATTCTATCTATATAACCAAAATGAAGTCATTTCATTTAAAATACATTGTAATCAACTGACTTTAATGTAAAAATCTGATTTTTATCACTGAATAAAAATTTTTTTATGGCATAATACATAAAATAATGTTTGGGACAATGTTATTTATAAAAGTCAAAACCAGAAAGTACCCAAAATCCATTAACAACATAAAGGGTGGATTATGAAACATGCATTCCAGTACAATAACATAAAAGAACTGCGATAAATAAAAACTACATGTAATCACTGTGAATGACTCTTCAAAACATAATACTCAACTAAAGAGAGAACATACTATTCTAAACAATGGCACTCACCAGCCCGCCCCCCACACACAGAACCTATGCCACCAGGGCCTTAATGGGTCTCTCACAGCTGTGCCAGTATAACCCTGGAGCAGCTGAGCAGCAGTCCAAAAGGAATCATCAAGATGGTCAGAGTCTCCAGACTCAAGCCAGGATCCAACCTGAGCTCCAAGTTTGGCACCAGTGTTTAGATCTCAGCTCTCCCAACCCAGCAACCTTTCCACATTTCTGATCATAAGCTGACACAAATCAGACTGACATCCACCAGGAACTGCTAGACAAGGCATTGGGGACCCCGCTGCTGAGCAGAGTGCTAACACTGGTGCAAGAGGAGAACGGGACCTCGGTGGAGTGAGAGGCCTTTTTCCCTCTTTTGGAAGATGGTACATGCCTGATGGATCTTGGAGTTCGGCAGAGCTGGAGCCCCTGCCAGAACAGGTGTTGTCACGTAGTTTGGGACAGAAGAAGTCCATGCACAGCGAGGACATTGCCCTCATCATCTTTAATGTATGCAAGCGAACGCCTTCAGACCTCTTTGGCAGCATGAACATCAAAGCTGCACTTTACAGTCAAAGCTACACCATACAGGTTCTACTCCATGAGCTGTAATTTCAAGGACTTGGTTCAAAGAAAGTACTCAGGGACCTTCTCCTTTCAGAACACCATGCTGCTACAAATTCTTGGCTGGAAAAGTCCCTGGAAATTTCCTCTACTCTACATCATGTAGTAAATGGGGCTAATGAATTAAGAATGGCAGCAGCAGCAGGACAACTTTATACCTGAGAAAAGGCTTCTATGACTAGCCTCATTCTAAGAAATATGGTGTGAAGACAATGAGACCACCAGGCTTGAGAAGCAGCAGACAGTACAGACAAGATCACTTATTTGCTTTCCCCACTGTACTATGACTGCATGGTGACAGGCTCCATCCAATTAAGCCTTTCTCCCCCTTTCTGACAAATGCTTCCCTTTACAGACACCTTTCCACTTACCCAAAGAGGCTAGACAAGTGTGTACCAGGTATCCTGTTACTACATCAAAATTTCCTACAACTACCTCTGTCTTAAAAATTCCCAGTACACTAAAGATAACCCTCTCTGGCTTTACACTGAAATTTCTACTTCATTATAACCTTCAATTCAAAACAAAAAAAGACACCTCTAAGACAAATATTAAGATGCTTCCCCAAAAGAAGAATACAGATGACCCATTAATATTGCTTATAATGCACAAATAAAAGTGATAAAAATTAGAGTATTGTATAAATACTAGTCAAAATATTGGTTACCTCTGAAGAATAGGAAAACAATATAAATTATCTATGGGGTACTTGTAATGATCTATAGTTACATGAATGTTTATACTTACCACTTTTCTAAATATTCATGTATTATTTATTTAATAATAAATTTGGTATACATGGTAAATTTCCTGAAATAAAATATTCTTGTACAGAGGAAGAGCTTCTCTTGCTAAGAACAACTTTATTTTCTTTTTCTACTGTTTTATTTTTTATTATAGTATATTACAAATAAAGAAACATCACATGCCTAATTCTCCACAATTCTTATTAAGAGTATATTTATCAGATTATCAAAGCTGCAAAAATCAGGCTATCAAAGAATATATGCTCACTTATCCTATTAAATCCTTATTCAGCTCAAAAAACTAAACTTTCTCTTCTATTTAAGAAAATATATGCTTACCTTAAAAATATACAAATTTCTTCATCTAGACAACATTGCATGTAGGATGCACTCAAAAATATTATTTAGCTCAAGAGTTGGAATAGATTTTTAACTGTTATACATTTTAAGACAATTTGGGAAACTTATCTGTACATAGATGCTGTAAGGATTCAGGAGAGGATATACATGAAGTCAAACTCGGTGTCACTATGTGTTAAGGATGGTTCACTGTTTGTACTAAAAAATGGGATTATAGGGTGAATACATAAAAGAAGCTACCTTCGATGTCCCCTGTATAGACTATACCATAGGCTGGCTTATTCAACTAGATCTAAAATGTCTAATGTAAATTATATTGTAGTAGTCTTAATATTTCCTTAGGAAAATATAATATAAATTTGATGTAAGAAATAACTGTAAAGGTTTTTTTTTAATGAACTTACATTACAAACACATCACATACACCATATGAAAAATCCTAAAAGGTCCATCACCTATAAGAATACTTCAGTGAATAATTTTTACAACTTTTTAATGCCACTGAACAAAGCTGACAATGAAATTTAAAAGATAATCAGTACTTTTATCATTATTCACCATGATAATAGAATTGCTTTTGTTACAGATTGTTTTCTGGTGTGTAGTTAAGAGTGTGTACATGTGTGCATGTGTGTGTATCTGTTCATGAGTGTGTGTGTGTGTGTGGGTGTGGGTGTGGGTGTGGGTGTGGGTGTATGGGTGTGTGCACATTCAAACGCCACTAAGAGATCTTCCCTTACTCGGTCAAGCTAATCAGTTTGTGCCCATCTATTAAGTGCCAATTTTAGTAAACTATGCTATGTCCAGCAGGGAGCAGCATTACAACACCCATAAAACTTATTTTGAACATGAAATCGACAGAAGAAATAAGGAGGAAAAAAACCCACTTACCATAGGTCTGTTCTACAGTACATCCAATTGGGAGGGTAGTTTCATGACTTCCAGAAAAAAAAAATCATCTAAACCATGTTTCAAAGCATGTATGAGTTATCCATGGCTTCAGGATTCCTAAAGTAGGAAATCAGAATTATATTAGGTAACGGCTTGTCTCAACCATGTTGAATTGAATGAGTATATAACTGCTTCAAGTGTTAAATGCATCTTTTTCTTAATGTTTCCATAGGATTTTAAACAAAGATGTTTGACAATACTTTGGATAAAACTATTTTTTAATCCAGAATACATGGGTGAAATATTATCAACAACTAAGAAAGCTGGAGTCAAATATTAAATGAGCTGATAGCCAACCACATGCAATTCTGATATATCAAAATCTTCTAGAAAACCTCCAGGCAATCAAGGATGCAACACTCATTTCTATGGGTCAGCAAGAATACAATATAATTTTAACAATGAAAAGGCACAGAGGTGCCATAGAAACAGTATAACGGATAAGGCATTTGCATTATATGCGGTGGACCAGGGTTCAGTTCCTGGTACCACATATGGTCCTCAAGACACTATCGGGAGTGATCTCTCAGTAGAGTCAGGAGTTTGCCCTGAGGTAGTTGGATATGGCCAAATTCAAAGAAACAAAACACAAAAGGCAACAGGGATTCTTTATAATGCTGGTGTAGCAAGATTGATTAGAAATTTGCTGACTATGATAAATGCATATGATATTATGAAAAAAACTGATAAACTAATTACAAGAGAACAAAGGCAAAATACACTGTTTACTATTACCCTGGCTAAGTTTGTCTCCATATTTAACTGAGAAAAAAGTTTAAGCTCCACCTTTATTTGAAATATTAGTTTGCTTTATTCATTTAAATGCAAATTTTCTGTATATACACTAAAAACAAAAATTTTTCAGTGTCACTGGAAAATAATATTTACCTTTAAATATAGACAAAAATAATTTATGCAATATATAATGGGGGCTGGAGCAATAGCACAGCGGGTAGGGCGTTTGCCTTGCACGCAGCCAACATGGCCGACCTGAGTTCGATTCCTCCACGCCCCTCAGAGAGCCCAGCAAGCTACAGAGAGTATTTCGCCCGCACGGCAGAGCCTGGAAAGCTACCTGTGACATACTCAATATGCGAAACACAGTAACAACAAGTCTCACAATGGAAATGTTACTGGGCCCGCTCAAGCAAATCAATATATAATAGTACATATCAACATATAGCATGTAGTTTTTATCATTTAAAATTGAATAGTAATATGCAAAACGATTCTTATTTTACTTCTGGCAAAATAACATGAGAAGCTTGAGTAAATGGCATCAAGTGTACATGAATAAATATATAAGTGTACTTCACAGCTCAAGACCATAGAAAAGCACCAACAGAAAGAGCCCAAATCAAGCAGAAGGAAAGAGATCACAAAACTTAGAGCAGAAATCAATGACATGGAAACGAAAGAAACAATCCGAAAGATCAATGAAACCAATAGCTGGTTCTTCGAGAAAATAAACAAGATAAATAAACCACTAGCAACACTCACAAAGAAACAGAGAGAGAGAACCCTAATAAACTGAATCAGAAACGAGAAGGGGGACATCACAACAGAAACCAAAGAAATTCAAAAGATCATCAGAGACTACTTTGAAAGTCTGTATGCCACGAAACAAGAGAACCTAGAAGAAATGGATAAATTCCTGGACTCCTATCATCTCCCAAAGCTGAATCAAGAAGATCTAGAGTACCTGAAAAGACCTATTAACATCAAGGTAATTGAAACTGTAATCAAAAGTCTTCTAAAAACAAAAACCCAGGTCCAGATGGATTCACTAGCGAATTTTTCCAAACATTTTAAGAGGACCTACTGCCAGTTCTTCTCAATCATTTCCAGGAAATTGAAAAAAACAGAAACTCTCCCAAACAGTTTCTATGAAGCCCATATCTCTCTAATACCAAAAGGAAACAAAGAAACCACAAGAAAAGAAAACTACAGGTCGATATCCCTGATGATCACGGATGTGAAGATTCTCAACAAAATACTAGCAAATAATTCAACTACTCATCAAAAAGATCATACACCATAACCAAGTGGGATTCATCCCCAGGATACAAGCATGGTTTAACATTCGTAAATCAATCAACATAATCCATCATATCAACAAAAGAAAATATAAAAATCATATAATCATATCAATAGATGCAGAGAAGGCATTTGACAAGATCCAGTACCCATTTATGATGAAAACCCTCGCCAAAATGGGGTTAGAGGTACTTTCCTCAATATAGTTGAAGCCATCTACCACATGCCTACAACAAGCATCCTCCTCAATGGGGAAAAACTGAGAGCCTTCCCGCTAAGATCAGGGAGGAGACAAGGATGCCCACTCTCTCCACTACTGTTCAATATAGTACTGGAAGTACTTGCAACTACGATTAGGCAAGAAAAAGATATTAAGGGCATCCAAGTAGGAAAGGAAGAAATCAAGCTCTCACTATTTGCAGATGATATGATACAATACTTAGAGAACCCTAAAGCCTTTACCATGAAACTTCTAGAAACAACAGACTTCTATAGTAAAGTTGCAGGCCATAAAATCAATGCCCAAAAGTCCATGGCTTTCCTATGCACAAATAATGAAAGAGAAGAAAGTGACATGAAGAAAACAATCACGTTCACAATTGTGCCCCAGAAAATAAAGTACCAGGGAATAAGCTTAACTAAGGAAGTAAAGAAAACTACACAACGCTAATTCAGGAAATAAAAGAGGACATGAGGAAATGGAAAAATATCTCCTGTTCATGGATGGGGAGAATTAACATTGTCAGAATGGCAATACTTTCCAAAGCACTGTACAAATTTGATGCGATCCCTATAAGGGATGACATTCTTTAAAGAAATGGAGCAAACGCTCCTGAAATTTATATGGAACAATAAGCCCCCACGAATAGCTAAAGCAATACTTGAGAAAAAGAAAATGGGAGGAATCAACCTCCCTAATTTCAAACTCTACTACAAAGCAGTAATAATTAAAACAGCATGGTACTAGAACAAAGGCAGAGCAGTAGACCAATGGAACAGGTTTTAATATACTGACATCTCCCCCCCAAGCATATGATCATGTAATCTTCGATAAAGGGGAAAGAAAAGTGAAGAGGAGCAGGGAAAGCCTCTTTAACAAATTGTGCTGGCAAAACTGGACGGCTACATGCAAAAAAGTGGGCTCAGATCTCTGCCTAGCGCCATGTACAAAAGTAAGATCAAAATGGATTAAAGACCTCAACATCAGACCAGAAACCATAAGGTACATTGAAGACAAAGTTGGCAAAACCCTCCATGACATTGAAGCTAATGGTATCTTCAAAAATGTCACGCCACTGGCCAAGCAAGTGGAAACAGAGATAGACAAATGGGACTATCTTAAACTAAGAAGCTTCTGCACCTCAAAAGAAACAGTGACCAAAATACAAAGACAGTCTACAGAAAGGGAAAGGATATTCGCAGAATACACATCCGACAAGGGGTTGATATCAAGGTTATACAAGGTACTGGTTGAACTCCACAAGAAGAAAACATCCAACCCCATCAAAAAATGGGGCAATGAAATGAACAGAAACTCTCTCAAAGACGAAACCCAAATGGCAAAAAGGCACAGGAGAAAATGATCTACATCATTAATCATCAAGGAGATGCAGATCAAAACAACAATCAGATATCATTTCATGCCACAGAGATTGGCCCACATTCAAAAGAACAAAAGCAACCAGTGCTGGTGCGGATGTGATGAGAAAGGGACCCTCCTTCACTGCTGGTGGGAATGCTGACTGGTTCAGCCCTTCTGGAAAACAGTATGGACGATTCCCAAAAAATTAGCAATTGAGCTCCCACTTGACCCAACAATACCACTCCTGGGAATATATCCCAGAGAGGCAAAAAAGCATAGTTGAAGTGACATCTGCACTTGTTTGTTCATTGTAGTCCTCTTTACAATAGCCAAAATCTGGAAAAAAAAAACCTGAGTGCCTGAGAACAGATGACTGGTTAAAGAATCTTTGGTACATTCACAAAATGGAGTACTATGTAGCTGTTAGAAAAGATGAAGTCATAAAATTTATATACAAGTGGTACAACATGGAAAGTATCATGTTAAGCGAAATGAGTCAGAAAGAGAGGGATAGACATAGAAAAGACTGCATTCATCTGGGGAACATAAAGTAACAAAATAGGAGACTAACACCCAGGAGTGGCCGAGATTAGTCCCAGAAATTTTGCTCCATGGCTTGGAGCCCAGTCACACATGCTGGGGGGAAAGGGAGCTCGGACAGAGAAGGGAGCACCAAATAACGGGTGTTGGGAGGATCCCTCAGGATGGAAGAAGCATGCTGAAAGTAGACTATAGACCAAAGTTGATTGCCACTAATGCCTTTTTTGCAAACCACAACACCCAAAAGGAAAGAAAGAACAAAAGGAAATGCACTGCCACAGAGGCAAGGTGGGATGGGGGGCATGGGGGGTGAAAGGGATACTGTGACCCGTGGTGGTGGAAAATGGGCACTGGTGGAGGGATGGGTACTTGATCATTGTATAAGTGAAACCCAAGCACAAAAATTTGTAAGTCTACAATTGTTGTACTTCATGATGTTTCACTAATAAAAATTAAAATAAAAAAAATTTATGTCTACCTGGAAACTCAGAACATACCATATTTGAAAAAGTGTATTTGAAAATACCAAGGATCATGGAGAGTCACTAAAAATTAAGGACTAAGAAGCATTGTGTAATGTGAGCAGCACAAAAGTCAGTATCTTTGTAAGAGACAGAAAAAGACACACAACAAAACCAAGAAATCAGTATGAGTATAGAATATCCAGAGACCAGAATGATGAGTCTATGACCCAGGGAACATCAAGGAATGCCAGCAACTACCAAAAGATAAGAGGAGAAGCATGGGCAGTTTCATGCTCAGCGATTCAAGCAGGAGCAAATTATACATGGTGAGTTGAAAGACTTCTGACTACCACAGTTGTAAAAAAAATTTTTGCCTTAAGCCACCAGGATTGCAGACTTGTTACAGAAAACCAAAAAAATGAACCTGAAATCAT